CACCCAGGCACCCCATCTTCATATTTCTAAACATTTTTCTCTTGCCCTTTATGGATTTTTCATTTTATCAACTGATTTGTTGTACCCTCCATACACACACACACACACACACACACGACAATCCTACCAAATTGATTATAGCACAAATTTTGGATAAATCAATATTCAGTATTAATATTTTTATGCCTATGAAAATATTTATAACTAAGACATGTAGTATGCTGTGAATACTGGCTGAACTGATCTTAATGGTTGCCTAAGAAGGGCCTATGTACTCATCATCAGTTCTTTCTGAAAGTTTCCAAGAGAACTCTAAACCATTTTCCAGTCTTGTCAAACATAACAGGTAACCTGCTTATTCTAATTTTTTCCTTGGTCATCCCCCTCTTGGAGAACATTTGAAGGTCTTACTATTCCTTATAGACTATATTAGTTTCCTAGAGCTTCTGTATAAATTAAAAATTGGTGGCTTAAAACAAAAATTTATTCTTAGTTCTGAAGGCCTGAAGTCCAAAAGCAAGGTGTTAGCAAGGCTGCACAGCCTCCATAGGCTCTAGAGGAGAATCTTCCCTTGCTTTTTCCAGTTTTGATGGCTCCAGGCATTCGTTGGCTTGTGGCTACATAACTCCAAACTCACATGGCCTTTTTCTCTTCTGTCTCTTACAAGGACACTTGGCATTGGATTTAGAGCCCACCCAGATAACCCAGGATGATTTCATCTCAAAATCCTGATTAACCTGCAAAGATTTTTTTTTTTAATTTGACAGCATGCACAGCAAGGGGAGCGGGAGAGAAAGAAGCAGGCTCCCAGCTGAGCAGGGAGCCCAATGCGGGGCTTGATCCCAGGACCCTGGGATCATGACCTGAGCCGAAAGATGCTTAACCCACTGAGCCACCCAGGCGCCCCTGCAAAGATCTTTTTATTAAATAAGGTCACATTGATAGATTCTGGGATTAAGACAAAGAACTATCTTTTAGAGAGCGGTTGTGAACATCTGTGTACAATTCTCTGTGTTGACTTGTTTTTATTTTTCTTGGGTTGAAGTAGAATTACTGGGTCATAGAGTAAATTAATATTTAACCTTCTAAGAGTATCTGAAGAAAACACTTCTTTGATGAGCAGATTGTTACAGGCCAAGTTCTGTGAATTGTTCGTTAGTTCCTACCAAATGCCCTTCATTCATTTGTTTATATAGCCATTCAGCAAATATTGAACATGTACTGTCTGCTATATTCAGTGGTGAGCAAGATAAGAAACACCATGCTTACTCTCTTAGGAGGAAGATTTTGGAGTGACAGGATAATTATAAGAAAGCAGTACTGGGGGCGCCTGGCTGGCTTAGTCAGTTAAGCGGCTGCCTTGGGCTCGGGTCGTGATCCCAGGGTGCTGGGATCGAGTCCCACATTGAGCTCCCTGATCAGTGGGGAGCCTGCTTCTCCCTCTGCCTGCTCTGCCTGCTGCTTCCCCTGCTTGTGCGCTCCTTCCCTCTGACAAATAAATAAAAATCTTTAAGAAAGAAAAAGAAAACAGTATTTGCTGTGATACCTTGGCCATAGCCCAGCTGTGGTAGCTGCTAAGGGGTCACACATTATTATTCGACCAGGTCCTTGTGTTTGCAAGTGACAGTCCCACTGCCCCTGGTCAGCTTGGGCACATTGAGGGATTTGGTACCCATAATATTCTAAAGCTTGAGCCTAGAAGTAGCTGGAGTTCTTCTTCATGTGAGGTTTTAATTTTTTCTCAATTGTAGAGAACACTTCGGCAGGGGCCCTAACACAAACCCCAAGGAGGCTGTGGATACAATTTAAGAGTTTGGGAACTTGGATGAGGGGGAAAAATCATTCCTTTCCACTAATCTCTAACTGAAATTTGGCATTTCCTCCTACTATAAATGTAGAGAACAAATCAAAGAGGTATTATTAACAGTACTTGTACTGGTGACCAATAAAAATCACTTATTTTCTTATCAGATTGTAGTTGTTGCAGGTGTCTTTTAAAAGAGTGTTTTTTTGCTTATCACTACATCAAAATTTTAGCAGTTATTAGACCTCTTGCCAGATCTTGTTACTGAGTTAATACATATATCACAATTTTGAATTTCAATATAGTTGTTTTTTTATTTAGTTGTATTTGTTTTGTTTGTGGTAATTGAGTATTTTATGTTCTGTGTTAAAAATACATATCCTGAGAAGGGACCCAGATGCAAAGGTACCCATGGCATAACACAGATTAGGAATCCTACTTTTATGTTCTGAGACACTACCACCCTACATCCTGAGCTCTCCTGTTTCTCCCACAACACAGTCCTCTCCCTCCACTCTTCCTTCCATCTGCTTAGACTCTGCCTGCAGACTCCACTCCATCTCAAAATTCAAGAAGTTCTTTTTGTGTAATTCTCACTGAATGCCGGGCCTTTTCCACCCGTACCCATGTGTCTGTCAGTCAAGGTAGGTGCAAGGCAGTTAGAGCACATGTGAAACCAACCTACTGACACATTTCTTGTTCATTTTTAAAAAGTCCAAGTTAAGAAGAGGGCATAGCAAAATGTAAAAACCAGGAAAGATATCCCTCTGGCTGAAAAGTAGCCCAAACTGAGGTAAATGTCAATATTCTTACTTAACCTGACACATAAGCTCTTAATAAATATTGTGATGATTACTGAAATTTCCTTTTCTTTTTTCTTTTGAAATAGAAACCATGTTGTGGATATCAGTGTTGCAGTCAGTACTCCTGCAGGGCTCATTACACCTATCGTATTTAATGCACATATAAAAGGACTGGAAGCTATTGCTAATGATGTTGTTTCTTTAGCAACCAAAGCACGAGAGGGTAAACTACAGCCTCATGAGTTCCAGGTAAGGTATTATTTATTTCCCTTCTGAATGTTAAGAATTATGTTATATTTAAGGGTGGCATAATGCTGGGTACCTGGGTGGCTCAGTCGGTTAAGTGTCTTGGGCTCAGGTCATGATCCTGGTGTCCTGGGATCGAGCCCCGCATCGGGCTCCCTGCTCAGCGGGAGTCTGCTTCTCCCTCTCCACCACTCGTGCTCTCTCTTTCTCTCTCTCAAATAAATAAAATCTTTTAAAAAAAAAAGGGTGGCATAATGCTTTTACTGCATTTTTCACCTTTGATTCTGCCTTGTATTCTTACACAAGTCCCTGAAAACACAGAAAAGGTGAATATCCTATCAAAATCTGAAAAGACATTTTCCAGCAGTTTGCAAAACTTATGACTTACGTTCATACTTGTAATGGTTATATATTTTCATTAAAGTGTATTCCATTAAGGCCTGCCTTTTTTTCCCCCTTTCAGCTTTTTTGATTTATAAGTATCAAATAAGAATTGTATATATTCAGAATATATAGCTTTGATGTTTTGCTGTATGTACTGTGAGATACATTGTGAGATGATCATAGTTAAGCTAAGTCACATCTGTCACTTCATGCTGTTTTCCTTTCCTTTTCTAATTTTTTTTTATGGTAGTTCAGAGGCCTTTTTTTTTTTTTTAAGATTTTTTATTTATTCATTTGAGACACATATACAGAGAGAGAGAGAGAGAAAGCATGAGCAGGGAGAGAGGCAGAGGCTGAGGGAAAAGCAGGCTCCTCGCTGAGCCAGGAGCCCGATGTGGGGCTCAATCCCAGGACCCTAGGATCATGACCGGAGCCAAAGGCAGACACTTAACCATCTGAGCCACCCAGGCGCCCCTCAGAGGCCTTTCTTAAAGATTATCTTAAGGTCTTTCCACAGAACAGTTGTCTTTTTTTTCTGGCTTATGTTGACAAGCAATTAACATGATCTATTTTTAATCTCTTTTCCTCTAGGGTGGCACTTTCACAATCTCCAATTTAGGAATGTTTGGAATTAAGAACTTCTCTGCTATTATTAACCCACCTCAAGCATGTATTTTGGCAATTGGTGCTTCAGAGGATAGACTGGTTCCGGCAGATAATGAAAAAGGGTAAGTACCAAAATAAAGAAGGAGTTGTAAGTTCATTTTCATTACATAATACCTGTGTGTTTTTTGGTGGTTGTTGTGGTGTGTTTTTGTTTTTACATAATACCTGTGTTTGAGTCTCAGTTTTATAATTATTGTCATGGCCTATTGGAGCTTCAGGTAGAGTCAGGCGTAAGTGTAGAATGAAGTTTCCAGGGCAGCAACTCTTCTTTTACTAAATGCAGTTAATCCTATTTGAAAGGGGAAGCCTTATTTTCTACAGGTGAGGGGTGAGCGTACTTTTCCTTGGAGCCAGGTTGTAAATATTTTAGGCTTTCTGAGTCATGGCCTCTTGTTGCAAATACTCTGACACTGTAGTGAGAAAGCAGACATAGGCAATACATAAATGAATTCCAGAAAACCTGCATTTGGCGGGATTTGGCCTGTGGGCTGTAGTTTGCCAGCCCATGCTCCAGATGGCTGTTTGGTCTGTCAATCTATAGGGTGAGGCAGAGGTGTATAGTACATTAAGAGTAGGTGGAAAATAATATTACCTGGTTGGAGTTGGCATGTGGGTTGGTTACTGGCTAAAAACTAGAGATTGCTTTCAGAATACCTAATAATGTTTTTATCTTTTTCTAGATTTGATGTGGCTAGCATGATGTCTGTTACACTCAGTTGTGATCATCGGGTTGTGGATGGAGCAGTTGGAGCCCAGTGGCTTGCTGAGTTTAGAAAGTACCTTGAAAAACCTATCACCATGTTGTTATAATTAACCCAAGAATTTCTAGACACTCCCAGGTCACAATGATTCATTCTTACCAAGATATAAATATGTTATTACACAGGTGGTTCTTTTTATTTTAAAGTTAACCAGTTATTTTTGAGTCTGTCCAGATAAATTATTTGTAATGGGCATCACTGAATTTTTTAAATGCCAATTACACCCACATATTGTACACATTTAATGAACACCAGATTTTGAGCTGTGTATTCCTAGTCAAGGGAACATGTGGCCTGGCCCTTTGGTGATAAGTACTTCCATTGGGAAATGTAGAGGGAGAATTCTGGTTCCCTATTGAAACATATATAAAGGTAATCTGGATGAATCCTTGAGGTTTTGAAATTTAATTGCCTCAAATGTTTTGCTCATATTTGAGGGAAAGAGAAGTCCGTTCTCTTAGAGAAAGGGTTTGAATTGAAGCTTGATTTTGGAATTTAACCCTAATTTAAATTTTTCTGTGACATGATCTTGGTTTATCATGGATGGGAAGGGTAGAGAACTTCAAGGAAAATAAGTGAAATTTTAAAAGTTAACTTTTTCTTAGACTTCTTCAACCAGCTGTCCTTTATTTTTCTATGAATCCTGAAATGGTTGTTTTGCCTCTTGAGATGAAGATCTATATAAACCAGCTACTTGGCATAAATGAGAATTTGTGTGGGTATTTATTTAAACAACTTACATACATAATTTTGAGAGAATTTAAAATTACCTCCAAATAAAAGAATATGTTTATAGAATTTAACAAAAAGTAGAAATTATTCCTCGAAGATTAATTGGTGGTTATTTGCAAATGAACTTAATTATCAGAATCTGTTACTCATATAACTTTGGAAAACTGTATCAAGGAACTGTGGAATAAGTGTACATATGTAAAATATGGTTTCTAGTGAGATGTGTGCCAAAGTCCATTTATCACCAAATCCTGTCTGAAAGGAAGAGGGGGAGATAGACACTGGTAAGCAGTTGGGAATGCTAAAAGATTAGAAGCGAAGTGGTCATTTCTACTTGGATTAAGTAAAAAATGTTCAGTGTGTACAAGAAAGTGTTCTGTTTTTCCACCCGATGTTGTCTCATGTACATTAAGAAAGTCCTAAAATCCTATTGGAAAGAAAAAAAATAGTTTAGGTTGCTTGCTGCCTTATCAGCCTAAATATTTTTTTCCTTTTTGTTACAGTTTGCCTTTCTTAGGGGAGGGGGAGTGGAGGAGGTGATACTCGGGATAATAAAAATGAATTTGGAATATTGTCACAATTCCAGACTTTCTATTAATGTGTTTTAATAAATTATTTGGAATTATGACTATTTAAAATAAATCTAACCAGTGTTGCTGTGTATATATGTGGAGCAGTCCTCTGAAATTTAGGTCTTTCGGTGTTGAATCTGTTTCTAAATGTTCTTTATTACATGGTGCAGAAGTGACACTGCATATATTCCAGAATATTTTCCCTTGCTGTATTATGAAAATGGTACATTAAATTGATTTTTCAGTAATTAGTAATGTTAGCTTGAATTGGAAGATTATGAAGAAGGAACAAGCTTATCGCAAGGGACCATCAGTATGAGCCACATCTGGTTCAGATACGTGAAACTTCAGAGATAATTCATTCTTAGCAAATGCTTATGGCTCTGTCTGTTGTTCCCTTGAAAGAATAATAAAAGGTTGTCTTCTAATAAAAATTATTCTGAGTTAAAAATTAACCTGAGGTATAATCTGAATTATAAATCTAAATGGATTCAGTCTATTTCTCTTACCAGAACTGAAAGAAAAAAAGTTAAAAATTTTGGTTGAAATTATTTAAAAATTAAACTGTTTTCAGTGTGTCTTGTCTAATTTTTGACCTGTTGGTAATTATTTTTCGCATTAAGCTAAAGCCAGAGGTAGCTATATACGTGTACACTCTTAATACAAATGCATTTGAAGCGTGTAGAATTAGTAAAATAAAGGACTGAGTTTAGGAGGATATAATCTAACACTTTAAGCTCAAGGAGTTGCTGAAGCACCTCATGCTGGAGTGTGCCACGCAGCAAGGTGAAAGCGTAATCTGGCCGTACTCGATATTTTACACCCATCCCGAGGTTTGTGAGTGCAGTTACGGTTTCCCAAGGCGTGGTCTGAAAAGGGAGTTAAGTAGCCCGAGATCATGTGAATGTGTTCCAAGGAGCCTTACCTAGCAATGCACAAACCCTGGACTACACGGGGAATAACCACCCAAGTTGGTAGGGGCACCGGGAGGCTCGGATGACTGAGTATCTGACTCTTGGTTTCAGCTCAGGTCATGATCTTCAAGGGGTGAGACTGAGCCCTGCACTGCGGGTGTCTGCTCCTCTCCCTCTGCCTCTCGCCCTGCTCACACACAGACACTCTCTCAAATCTTAAAAAAAATAAATAAAACCAAGCTTGTAGAAAAATCTAGTCTCTAAATCAAGGATAATTAATATCCATCTCACTTTCCAGTTTCAAGGAAAAAAATTTTGGTAAGATTCATATTGAACTACTCCACAGTTATTAATGTTCTTCCTGGGCAAAGTTTGGTATTTTGGGGGAGAGGGAGGAGGAGGAGAAATTTCTATGAATATAAAAATCCATTGAAATAAGTAAAATATTTTGGAAAGTAACAAGGATGTAAATTTAAAATCTAAAAAATGCTAGATCTTGATATGCATTTTATTAATGAGTACACAAACACACAGCTGCTGACAAAAGTAACACCCAAGTGCCAAGGGTGCCAGAGCAGATTCAACCAGTTCTGTGTGCTTAGGTATGAGAGTTTGTAGGCCAAGCAGTGACGGTGATTTTGTAGAAGAGAAGGTAAGGTGAAAGCATTCCAAGGTTTTTTGAGGGATGAGACTATAATAGGGGTGTTAACTTTAGGACATCATACAGTTCTAGAAAATCTTCAGATGGTAAATTTTCCTGTTGCTGGGAGAATTCAAACCCGACCAGGCTTAAGAAAATTATATTTGTTTTTAAGTATCACATACCAATTGCTTCTCTTCTATATACTAGTTTCTAAAGTTAAAAAGCTTTAAAATTAATAAGAACTTTAAAGACATTATGTTGAACTAGAAACTATTACAAGAAAGCTGTACTGTATCTAGGAAAGATGATTAAGGATGCTTAAACATCAAAGTTAATAATTCTGTATTGAACAACCATCTGACAGATTAAGTTGATAAATACATCCTTCTGTCAAAATTATTTTCATAGGAGAAAGGCACTTGTCCCAAAGTCACATCCTTTTTCTTAGGGTTAGATTTATTTTGCATCTTCTGTACAATAACATCTTGTTATTGTTACTGCATCATGGTATCCAGTCCACAGACAAGTCTATATTTGATATTAGAAGGTCTGACGGGTAGCTTGGACTCCTCCCATGAGAACTGTTTTATAGAAGTACAGAAGTTTGCATACTAGTACATTGGCCCTGTAACTTTATAGCTGGAGGAAACTTTCACTGCTTCAGTTCCTCTTGGTAATAGAAAATTTACAGTTTGAGATTTATTCCTGATGCAAAAATTTGCTAGAGACAACCAAGTAAACCAGAATTTCAACCAGTAAACCAAGAATTTTCACAATTTACTTGGAAACATAGAATTTTCCCAAATGACAATTTGTTACTTTAAGACCATTTAGAAATAGCTTCAAAACAAGTATATCACGGCAATACTGTTTTTAATAGTTTCTGCTTCTAGCCAAGTTTGAGGAGAAAGTTAAAAAAGATAAACATTAAGTTGATGAGAAAATCTCATTCCATCAAAAAGAACTCTTAGAAAATACTAGTGTTTAAGGTAAACCACTACCTCTTCACCCATAATGAAGGTCCTATCATTCACATGCCTTTATCACTGAAAACCCAAAGCAGATGATGCTCTTGACTTACACCAATGGCATTGTGACGATTAAGGTAGCTTTCTCTTTGATAAATTTGGCTGTAGTCATTTCAGTATCCACAGATTCCGGAAGATTCAGATGTAATCTGTACTTCTCAGAGACCTCAATCAATAAATCATCCTAAGAATAACAAATCAAAGTATTTTAAAATATGAAAATAGAAAGTAACTCCTGGTTAAAATATGTTACTGGATTATTCAGTTACTCCTTTCCCGTAAGAGGAGGATCTCATTGCCATGTGACTTGCAATGAGCTGTACAGTTGCTGCTGTGACTCCCTGAGGGTTTTTGTTACTGCTGCTCAGTACGTCAAAAGTTAACTGATACAGTGCCATAAATTGGGTGTTGCCATCCTAGATTTGTGGCATTGACTTTGTGGCTGACCAGCAAACAGTGAGGAAAATGTATTGGCAATAGGAAAAATGGTGATCCATGTTTTGTAGTGATAAAGCCCTTAGTAAAACCAGCACAGTAATTTGAAAGACAACTAACTGCACCTCGTTAATGTGTGGCTTTCAGGTAAAGTGTGAAAATAGAATGTTGGTAACATGCATTGTTTCTATTGGCTACATTTAATAAGCTACTACAAAAAGAGAGGAGCTTCGAAAAGAATTTCCTAGTTTGCGAGTAGGATTAAAAGACTATACAAAGCCCCAAAATTCTAAGACTTCAGGACTGAGAAATGGAACTAATTTTTATTTTAAACCAGTAAAAAATAAAATTGAGAATTTATTTCTTAGCAACAAAGACTAAGACAGCCTAGAAGATTGAATCACACGTCATTATACTCTTTGTTAAAACCTCTAACTGGATTAAGGTGGAGCTCAGTTAATCCCTACCTTTGGCTCAAACGACAGCAATTAAGTAAAAAAAGGCCATTGAAAAAGGGACATGCCTAATAAAGAATCATGGGTGTGGCACTGATTAGAATCAAAGAAGTAAAATGCTACCAGTCTAGACTAAAACACTGGATCCCCAACATTCCAAAAGCGTGTAACAGGGTGAGTAAACTGCTCAGCACGTAAGGATGGCCTATTCTCCAATGTTCTTTTCCGATGTGGCCAGTGTGGGTAAGAAAAAGGTAAACACCGGGGCGCCTGGGTGGCTCAGTTGTTAAGTGTCTGCCTTCGGCTCAGGTCATGCCAGGGTCCTGGGATCGAGCCCCACATCAGGCTCCCTGCTCCTCCGGAAGCCTGCTTCTCCCTCTCCCACTCCCCCTGCTTGTGTTCCCTTTCTCACTGTCTCTCTCTCTGTCAAATAAATAAATAAAATCTTAAAAAAAAAAAAAAAAAGGTAAACGCCACCCAAAGAATGAAGCTGAAAGTCATGGAAAACAATGGAACTAGGGGGCTAGGTAATCAAGGAATCTTGTAACGAGACCTAACCAAGAACACCCTCTACTTACAGGAAAGGGACCCTCGTGGTATCTGCCTTCCAGATACCAGAATTGCTGTGCACCAGGAGCTGCTGTGTGCCTCGTATTTTCCCCCTTTCCAAACTGAGACTGTTAATTACGGTTATCCTCTCTCCACTGCACATGGTACGGTGCATGTGGCTATGGCAGTAGATTACTTGTCTTTGTAGTTCATAGGTCTGTGGTTCAAGAGGAAAATGCAGATTATAATGGCAAAATCCTGTATTTGAGAGTCTGATACTGGGACTGGAAATGCCTTTCTTGGGGAAAGAAGCAAATATTTGTGTCCTTGAGAGTTGGACTGTGGTAGATTGTAGGACTTTGCCAATGTTTTGCTCTTCTTTTGTATAATAAGGATTATACATCCTTGCCATTTGAATTCCTGTGACTACCTGTGAGGATATTCTTCCCAGCCCCGTTGATGTAGGATTTGGCCTGGTGCCTTAACTTTGACTAATAGAATGTGAGTAAAAGTGATATATACTATCTCTGAGAGAAAGTTTTAGGATCTATTGCATGGCTTGGCCATTTCTATTTTCCCTCTTTCATGAGAATGGCATATCTCACCTGTATCTTGAAATATGCAAGACCCCTGGAACACAGCAGGCCCACCTGACATACAACCTGAGCAAATTGCTACAAACCACCGAGACTGTGGAGTCTGTTACTACAGCATAATATGGTAAATGTTGACGGATACAAATTTATAGTATTACCTGTTCAACTTACCTCAGAAACACTAAGATCACAGAGAGATACTGAATTAATACCAGGTAATTCAACTTTTATTTCAATTTCCAGAGGTTTCTCATTCTGGTCAGCCACAATTTTTAATTCATAGGCTGGTTCCTTCATCTCTACCTGGATCTCTGTACTGGAAATCTCCTCAATCAGACACCGTGTTTTACTTGAAACTTCACCTTTTGGCAATAAAAGCTGAAAGTGATCTGAATTGCTCACAGTCCTACTTATCTGTTCAGGGGTTAGTTCTTATGGGAAAAAAAGGGGGGGGAGATGAAATCACAAAGTTAATCAACAACATAAAATACTATCAGGCTATGAACTGTAACATTTGTGGCATTAGCCAAAATGGCAGAGAAGCTGAAGCTAATTTAGTTTGGGAATCTAAAAAGAATCTTAAACCTGGGGCACCTGGGTGGCTCAGTCAGGTTAAGTGTCTGACTCTTGATTTCAGCTCAGGTCATGACCCCAGGATCGTGAGATCAAGCCCAGAGTTGGGCTCCGTGCTCAGGGGGGAGTCTGCTTGAGATTCTCTCTTTTTCTCTGCATCCCCCCACTTCCCCCCCCACTCTCTCTCTCTTTCAAATAAATAAATAAAATCTTTTTTTAAAAAATAAATAAAATCTTTAAAAAAAGCATCTTAAACCAAAGAACTTGGTTAAAAAGTTTGCAGGGTTTAAAAATCTTTAAGAACATGTTAATATTTCTAATATCTAATCTTTATATTTTTCTATCTTAAGTTTCTCATCTTTTAAAACCAAGATTTTTGGTTTGCAAAATGTACACAGGCTGCAAAACAATTTTAAATCAGTTAAATTTTCCATTTACAGTCATTAACTTACCCTTTCTCATTTTCTCTCTTAAATCTGTGGGGTCAGCTTGCATTCCCATCAGATTTTGTTTCATCCTTTGAATGCTTCCTTTTATTCTAAATTTAGTGATACTGTAAGAGTATGAGAGAGTGAACTGGAATTTTTCCTCAATGCATTTCATGGTCATCCGTATTAATTGATCTTTTTTCACTTGGTCCTTTTCTGCTGCCTGGAGAACATCAGGATTGTAGGCAACATCGATGACTGTATAAACATCTGTGTGTGTAATTCAGAGGATGTGAAATGAAGACAACTTGTTTCACTGATGATACTGTCAGGTAATATATTAAGTCATAATCCTGGATAAAGCTAGAAAGCAAAATTCTATTCCTGTATTTTTCAGAGGTAATCACAATGGTGCCAAATATACAAATTTCCAATTAGGGCATTTCTTGGCATTTTATATGGGTTACTATTAGAAAAATTGAATAGCATTCAATTTATATAAATAAAGGTATGCTTATTAGTTATTAACTACATTATAACCAAATAAAATATTTTACTTGTAATGCCTTTTACCAAGTAAAATCTGGTCCATGCTTATTCCCAATAAAGTTTTTAAAATGTGCTTTCTCTCCCTTAATTCTATGTACCTGATGTCTCAGACATATCTTCTGGTCTGCCAACACTTAGAGGTACTGGATGAGTGGTTGACTGGGGAGCTGGGATCCTTTTCCACTGACACAGATTAATAAAAAGTACTTTTTCCTTTGGTTTCTAAAAAACAAATAATTTTGCATATCTCAAAATCTAGTGTTTTTTTTATTTAAAAATAATATCATAAAGGTAACTCATCACAGAATTTGAAGAGTGAGAATTTTAGTCACCAAGTAAGCCATTCCATGCATTTAAACTGTGTTTGAAAATTGTACTGTTACCTCATTTCCCCCAAGCTACTGACTTTTCAAGATCCAGTTGTTGCTCCCAGAGGAACTGGGAGGAAGGAGGGGGCACCAATCTAAGCAGCTATTCTGGGTGAGTATGACCCTATTTCACCACTTCCTACCTCCCAGCCAAGTAAGTTCTCTTTATTTGAAAAACTTCCAATTCTACGAGTCTCTGTTAAATCATTACATTACTTTTTTTTTATTCTAGTAGAAAATGACTTTGAGATCTCCAAAATATATCATATGTGAATTTCTCATTCTTACTCCTTCAACATAATCTTCCACTCTATGTTTCACTCTCCCTTTAGAGTGGCGGTTCCCCTCAAGTTTTCTTAAAGTAGCAATAGCTAAAGGTAAGTGATTCTCTGATTATTCCAGGATTCTTTCGCTCAAGACCTCCCATCCCTGGGTACCAACACTACATACCAGGATCATGGTCTGTAGACAGAGCTGTGGTTCTGGGGTGGCACAGAGCTGTTCCCCTTCTTTCAGCTGCTGTTGAATGAACTTCTCGTAGCTCTCAGGATTAGTTTCAGCCAGATCATCTAGGAGGTTCCAGAACTGAGTAACCTGGGTGAGCAGACCCTTTGAGGACGACTCCATGATTGAGGTAAACAGGCCTCTTGAGTCTGTGGAAAGACAGGACTTCAGGGGGAAAAAGTCTGTGTAACTAATGGTTCATTTCTTCTTTTGGAGGAGGAGGAACAAACAGGTCAGGAATTGCTTTGATGAAGTTAGCACCTGTGTCTAAAAGACTGCGGCTCGGCACCACTTTTCTTTACCTTATTCTCTAATTATCTAGTCCCCCTCAGACAAGTCCTCACCTCTGCCTAGACTCCCACCAGCACTGAGGGTAGAGTAGTCAGTTAAAGTCTGGATTACCCGGTGACCGATTCTCTTGTTCCGATACCTGGGTATTGGCAGACGGGTGCCTATCCAGTCCCGAAACTGCCAGAGAGCTACAGGAGACTTCCTCACAGCTTAGTAGTGAAAAGCACGGATTCTGGAGCCAGAATGCCTAGATCCCAATCTCAGCTTTATCACGTACTAGGTGTGGCACCTTGAGCAATGAAGTTATGTATCAGTCTATTCTCAAAGTGAAGACGGTAATACCCATCTCGTAGGGTTATTGTGAGAATTAAGTATGCTCATATAGAGAGGCTAGGACACTTCGTAAACACTATGAGAGTATTGATACCACCTGTGTCTAGAGACAACCTCCCTCGCTCTCCTCTCCCACTGGAGAGGCGACCCACAGCAGCCACAGAATGAGGAAAAGAGGTTTGGGTTCCCCGAATACTATATTAGGGTTAAACTAAACGGGAAGCTTAACTAAAGGACCATCTTCGCAGAGATCGGCGAACCCACCTCTTCTCTCCTCCTGGACGAACCGCGACGCCTGTTACTAGGGTAACCGGACCGGGTACAACATCTAATTGGGTCCGGAAAGCTCCAGGAAGAAAGGACTTTTACATCCAGTTCCGGAGTCTCCCCCCTTCTGGTGTCGGGCTTGCTTTTCAGCCGAGGCCGACCCGCTTCTTTTCCAGGAGGGCGCCCGCCTCCCCTCCGCACCTTTCGATCTCTAGAGGATGCTGGAAGCCCTCCCCGTGGGAGTCTCTGGGTCTCCCGTGGGTGGGAAGAGTTTCTCCGGAGCACGACTTCCGGCCTGAAAGGGAAGCCCGCTCCCTTGTCTCCCAGACTGAGTCCTCCCCCCAAATCCCCGCCACGCGAGGCTGCGGCGCACGGTATGGGTGTATTTGTGTGTGTTTGTATGGGGAGGGCGTTTGGAGGGAAGGTTACCGGGAGCTCCGTGGCCGCTGGGGGGCAGGGATCCCGGTGACAGAGACGGGGGTATTTTCTCCGTCTTCCACTTGGAAGCCTCAGCCCCCTCCCCCCTTCGGGCACTCTGTGTGTTTCTTGGGGCCCATTCGAGGGTTGTACCCGTCCAGAGCGTCCCCATCCTTTCGGGAGAGCGAAGCCCAGTCCTCGGGTCCGTCCCAGGGGAGCGTGAGCGGGGCATGCCCCCATGCCCGCCAAGCCGGCTGTCCCGATTCCGCGCCGGCGCAGCCTCCGGCCTCGGCCCGGAAAGCGATCTTCCTGTCGGTGTGGGCTGGGGGGAAGGCAGCCGTGGCCTGGGCCACGGGTGAGGGCAGAATAACCGGTGGGAAGGCTGCATTTTCACGAAGGACTCGGGTGAAGCTGCAGAGCTGCCTTTGAGCCCTGACTCCTTGGCTTCCTGGGTCGGAGGAGATCTTGTAATGGAGTGGTTCTTCGTCTCACACTAGCAAGATGCCTGATTTCCTCAGGATCGAGGGGTGAGTGAGCGGTGGGGTGGTTGCACAAAACCGCTGCTAGCTACACACTGAATATCCTTGTCATCTGTTTTTTGGAGGCTTCTGTACAAAATAGAAAGTAAAATTCCTCTGAATGGAGAAATTTAGGGCCTGTCTGCATTTGATGTCAAATGTTGACATTTGTGGTCCCTGACATTGTCAGATCTAGGTATTTGCTTCATCACAAGCTAATTTTGAGACTGGAAAGTTGATTTCTAATCTGGATCTTGTTTACATTGGGCTCTCTGGCCTGGGGCAAGTTATGCTTAAGGGAATTTCATCTGCAAAATAGGAATGAAGATGCTTGCCTCATATAAAACATGGGGTTGTTTTGAGGATTAAATAAAATGGTGCTCTTGAAGGCACTTAATTCTGTGCAGTTTGAAAGAACTTGGATGTCCACTATCTCACTGTACATTCATCTGCACGTTATTAGTGTGGTCAGGCATTTTCCCCTTTTAATGGTGAAGGGAAAACTACCCCTCAGGACCTCTGACTTCTTGTTCAGTAATCTTTCCTTTCTTTACCTCATGCTTCTTTATGACACTGTAATAAAAGATAAGATAATAAAGGAAATTATTGTTTTTAAATGTTATTTATCGATTCATTTCAGATTGAAGAATGTCCCGTGTTCCACTGGGGAAAGTCCTCCTGAGGAATGTCATCCGGCACACAGATGCTCACAATAAGGTGAGAGGTACAATCTAGTTTTTCCTCAACATTTATTGGAGGCATACAGTGTGCCATGCATGATTTTGGTAGTTTGGAGATACAAAGATGAATAAAATAGATAATTACAATCAATTTGATAAGTACTGTAGTAGAGACATATACAAGGTGCTTCAGTGCACTGAGGAAGGAACAGTGAAATCTGCCTTGGGAAATTAGGAAAGGCTTCACAGAATGCGTGGTATTTGAGCTGCTATATTTGAACTCGTTTTTGGTGAACAGGTTCAAATTTACCAGGTGTAAAAGATCATTCCAGACAGAACATCATGTACTCATATGGCAACAAAGAAGAGCATGAAGCACTTGGGGTGTGGCAAGAAAGTGTGTGCATCTGGAAAGTAGGGAATGTTGTGGGGAGTTGGGTAGTGACAGAAGATGAGGCTCAAGTGGTAAATTAGAACTGGATTGTGATACTTGGAGATTAGACTTTTTCCTCTGAACAGTAAAGAAGCTATCAAATGTTTTTAAGCAGGGTGTGACAAGACTGTATTTGTATTTTAGAAAGATGATTTGTTAGCTGGGTAGGGGATGATAGGCCAGATGGAATGAAACAGTAGAAACACCAGTTAGGCAATTGCATTGCTCCAAGTGAGAGACGATGAGGAGTTCACATGAAAACAGTGACAGTAGGGATGAAGATGAGGAATTTAGGAGATAGAATCCAAAGGATTTGGTGACTAATTTAAACATAAAGGGTTATCATTTGATCATTGAAGCATAGTTGCAAAATTAAAAGGGGATAAATGAGTCTATGCAGGGTTAAAAAGTTCTCCTGTTGCTGCAGAATTCTACATATTTGAGATTCACTGGGTCAGATTATTTAGAGAATCCTGAATTTGTTTCCCAGGTTCCTGATTATGACCCAGTCTGTAATACAAAATTGGTACAGAGTGTATTGTCAGTTACTTTTCTGTGATACAAAATATTGTTTTTAGTAATTATATTTCTTTTCTTTTAAAAAATCTAGATTCAGGAGGAATCAGATATGTGGAAAATAAGAGAACTGGAGAAACAGATGGAAGATGCTTACCGGGGGACCAAAAGGAAAATGTTACCCAGTAGTTCAAGGTGAAGTTGGAGCTCTAAGATCCAGAATAACTGAGATCTTGTTCAGAACCATCAACTTTCATTTAAAAGCATTTTAGTATGCTAAAGATAGATGAGTTCAGTTCTGTGAATCTTTAAGCCTTCCTTCCTTCATGAATCTAGACCCAAGCATAAAGGTAATGGCTATGATGCATATGGCTTAACACTTAGTATTTATTTGCAATGGGGAATTTAAAAATTCTACCTTGAACAACTTTAAAAGTTAAAGATTCTGTGTATTCTGACCTTGTCTGGTGGCTTTTAAGATTTTCTGTTGCTATCTTATGGTCACTTAGCTATCATTTATTCTTGTCCCCTTTTATTAGTCTTTGATTCTCCCTCAGCCTTTTCTTTACCCCATCTACTTCCTGTGTTCACCAAGTCACACAACTTTCACATTACCTTTTTAATAATTTCAGTGTGAATATGCAGGATTATGCAGGCTTAGTTGTCTTGTTTGTGGAGGTACAGGAATGTCTGAGTATTGAGAACATTTCTTGGGCTTCATATGCCTGTTAGTGTATAGCTGTATGTGTGAAAAATGACTGTAGTAATAATGCCGATGTCTTTTTTTTTAATTTTATTTTATGTGTTATGTTAGTCACCATACATTACATCATTAGTTTTTTTTTGTTTAGTTTTTTCTGTTCTGCTTTTTTGTTGTTGTTCTTTTCTCCCTCCAGCTTTATTGAGATATAATTGACATATAACATGTAGGTATACAATATGATGATGACTTGATACATACATACTGCAGAATGACTATTACAATAAGGTTAGCTAACACATCACCTCACACAATTACCTTGTGTGTGTGTGTTGGGGGGGTGTGTGTGGTGATAACATTTGAGATTTATTCTCTTAGCAACTTTTAAATATATATTACGGTGGTGTTAACTATAATCATCTTTGCTGTACATTAGATCCCCAGAATTTATTCATCTTGTAACTGGAAGTTTGTACCCTTTGACCAGCATATCTCCAGCCCCTGGCAACCACCATCATACTCTCTATTTCTATGAGTTTGGATTTTTAGATTCCACTGTAGTGTTCCATGATTCATTGTTTGCATATAACACCCAGTGCTCCATTCAATACATGCCCTTAATACCCATCACCGAGCTAACCCATCCCCCCATCCCCATATAATGCCGATTTCTAAAGTCACCCAGGGAAACAGTTAACAGTGAGATATTAGAGAGTGAGTGTGCCTGTGTAGTACTTAGCCTTTGGAGTGTGACTGACTGTATGTGTGAAGTGCTTTAGACAAGGAAGTATTCAGGGTATCCAAGGTAAAGAAGGCAGAGTCTCAATATAAAAATAAGTATCTTTGCAGTCTGTTTTCTTGCTGAAGATGGTCCTTTGAGAATTTAGAAGTAAAGTTAGTGCAGATGATAAATTGTCTTCTATTGGTTGTTCAATTCCAAGCAGCATTTCCAGAAACAAAATGTTGTTTTCATTTTTATTATTTATTTATTTATTTTTAAAGATTTTATTTATTATTTTTTGTTTTAAAAGATTTTATTTTTTTATTTGACAGAGAGAGAGACAGTGAGAGAGGGAACACAAGCAGGGGGAGTGGGAGAGGGAGAAGCAGGCTTTCCGCCGAGCAGGGAGCCTGACACGGGGCTCGATCCCAGGACCCTGGGACCATGACCTGAGCCGAAGGCAGACGCTTAACGACTGACCCACCTGGTCGCCCCTTATTTATTTATTTGACAGAGAGAGAGAGACAGCGAGAGAGGGAACACAAGCAGGGGGAGTGGGAGAGGGAGAAGCAGGCTTCCTACTGAGCAAGGAGCCCGATGTGGGGCTCGATCCCAGGACCCCGGGATCATGACCTGAGCCAAAGGCAGACGCTTAACGACTAAGCCACCCAGGCGTCCCCAAAATGTTGTTTTTAGAGTGAATTATTGATACCTATCATGGTCTAATAAGTCTTTAAAACCATAATCCCTAAAGAGATTCTGATGGTCTCACTCCCTGTAGCTAGAATGGTGCCTAGCATATAGGAGGCCCTTAAACATTTTTGATAGTTGATTAGCTTGCTTAGTGACTTGTTAGTGGACCTTGTAAGCACAGGCTGTATCTGTGGTTCTCAACTTTTTTTCTACCCCAGCCTACTCATGGGTTAGGCCTTGCTCCTACTATTACTATGACCTCACTATAGCAAGTTGCTGGGTTTTTGGGAAGGGAATATATTTCTAGGGTAGTTTGAAATGTTCCCAGCTGTGATTATGCTCTACTTCCCTCTTTGCATGTCCTCCTACTTGAGAATCAATGAGTGAGCTATAGCATGCCACAGTCCATAAGTCACTTTGTCTGTATTCTGCAATAGGATGGGTAGTAATGGTCAGATTTTCACTGGACAACTGTACAGACTTATGGAGAGGAACAGATCATGTCTTTTTACATTGGTTTTTGGGTTTTTTTTAGCACTAAATCGGTGGTTTTGTTTTCCTCTTAGCTTGTTCAATGGGTTTTGTGCATGCCATTCGATAAAGGAACCTCACAGATTGCTTCTAAATGTAAAAGTTCTTCTGTTTTTCCTTATAGCCGGATGCGTAGTGATGGTTTTGATGAAGAAAGTCAAAGAGACTATTGGAGGCCAAAGAATGAAATTTCTGGGGCACTGGAAGATGATTTTCTTAAGGCTAAATCCTGGAATAAGAAGTTGTATGATTATGAAGCTAATATGCCAGACAGGTTTGTGAAAAAATTCTTGAGACCATTAATAATATTTGGCCTGAGAATGTGCACTTTTATTTTTTATTTATTTTTATATATATTTTTAAGATTTTATTTATTTATTTGAGAGAGAGTGAGAGAGAGAGCCCAAGAGAGGGTAGGGTCAGAGGGAGAAGCAGACTCCCTGCTGAG